AGTTAGATTAAGTTATTTAAAACTACAAAATTAATAATTAGAATTAAGTTAATTTCTAATAAAACTTACTAAAAAATGTAGTAAACATCTTCCTATTTCCTCTCCATTTAGATCGCCGTCATTTAATAATGAAAATTGTAGTTGCTGTCGTTCTAAAACTAGCTGTTGTTTTTTCAGAGCGCATAACCAACTTTTTTTCAGCACATCACTGTTTTCATTTAAAAAGTTGTGAAGAACACAGCAGAATCGTATAACGCAGAATCATCGAGAATCAAGACGGGTATTCCGACATCATTAATCACCCTGCTTTTGTCCTCTAAAGCAATATAATTTTCTAACTGTCTCTTTAGTGATGAGTTTTCCAGGATATCCAGCATTTATATAAAAAAACGGTATCTGTAAATAAACAATAAAATATATTTATTGAATTTTTATATTCATTTATAAATTTGTTGAAATTCCATTGTTTATTTACGCATAAATTACTTACCTATTATCTACGAGGGCAAACAAAATGATCGAGTACCACCCTTTGTAGTTGTAGTAGTTAACACCATTCTGAGATTCTGGTTTTATTTCAATGTGGCTTTCATCTTTAATGTTGTTTACAATTAATATGTTTCAGTAATAATAAATTGAAAACTTACCCATTGCACCTAAACTTTATGGAAAACTGAAAACTTCAAATCCTCTGATGCACCTTGTTGATTAACCTTGTTGTTTATTAATGTAAATGCATTACACAATATTTTACACAATACCGTTATTTTTCTTTGTGTTTTATTTGTAAATAAAAGAAAGTTCTTTTATAGCTTTTTTGATATATAAAAGATCTAAAAGCTGTATAAATTAACTTATTATATGTGAACGCTTCCTAATTTATAAAAATGAGCAAGTGCCTAAATGAGACAGTGCGAACATGGTATTACTACACTTTTTTTACTTATTTCGTATCCGTAAATCTTAATGTAATTTCATTAATGTGTACTAAAATATATATTTTAAATATAAATACTTAATTTACCTGCAAATAGAGATTTCTCATGTTATCTCATATAACATTCCTAACTTTAATAATACAACATGTATGTGATAGATTGATTCTCCAAACTTTTGAAGCTTTCCCTAGTAGACTAATATCGTGAGATCACACACAATTGTTCCTTTGGAGAAATTGTAGTGCGACTTAATGTTAATTTTTTGGAAGTATGGACGGACATCCTTAAAAAATGTTTGTGGATTTTACGGTTACTACTTCGATTTACGGTTACTACTACTGCTCCGTTCGCACGTTTTTGTGTTGCAGCAAAGTGCGGTAAAAAACTAGGCAAATATTATATATTAATAAGTCTACGTATATATGTAAAAATCAAGCCAAATTAAATTTGGTATTAAAATGAATTTATTTATTAAAAAATTTAAATAAAAAAACGTGGTAAAAATAATAGTAATAAAGTAGGAAAGAGTAGTACTTTATTTTTTGATACAAATTAGAGACTTTAGTAAGAGACATTTTGTTTTTTACCGCATATTAAGTATTACATATATTATCAAACAAATCAATATAAAAAGATCAGTACGTAAAGCATGATAGATACGATAAAGCATGAGCTCGTACTTTGTGCGCATACTAGGAGTGCGTTCTTCTTTAGCTATTATATATTTATACATTTTATTTTAGTTTTCATAAGGTGTATTCTTTTGACATAAACGCTCGAATAGAACAACTTCTTTTTGCTTAACAATAACTTGGCATCACTGCCTAAATCAGTAAACATATGACAAGTAAAAAAATTTGACACAAATATGTGGTTGATAAATAGATGTTCATACAAAAATATTGTAAATTTTATAAAAAAATGTTCTTTTATATAAATATATAAAAAGTGAATGACTCAAAAAAAAGGTTGGTAAGCATAATATATTGTATCTAAATTTATAAAAAGAAATATACATTTTTCTAGGCTTTATCAATGAAGGCATTCATCAAATATTTGAAATTTTGGATAGGTAATATGAGATCGTCAATAAATTCATTTATATAACTTTTAAACTTCAAATATCATTAGTTAAAGCCAAAGGATCAGTATTTAACACTGTTTTATTTTCTAGCAATTGTCTTATAACTTTTTGCTTTTATTATAACGATTGTGTTTTTGTATTTATTTATAAAGTATGTGCTGTATTCATAATACAGAAATTAAAAATTCATTAATAAATAATTTACTAATCACTTCTCTACAATTACTTACTTCTCATGTCAATCATCTTCAACTTTGAGACACACTTGATATTGTGAATAAGAATTGGAGAGTCATATATAGAAATGCAACGCTGTATAAAAATTTCAAGACATTCGACTTCTTTTTAACCATTGTCAAGTATATTTAATGTTTTTGGCACAACTAAGAATTTACGCATTATTAACATAAACTGCAAAATACTACTGATGTGAAATGAAAAAAAAACATAAATAAGAAAAAATATCTGGAAGGCTGTAAAATATCTGCCTTCCATAAATTATTTAAATTATAAAAATGTTTAAAAATTATATTTGGTCGTTAGCAAGTTAAGGCGAATATGTTATAATCGTGATTACAACTGCTTTCTTATCACACAAAACTTAAAAACTATGAACATTTACACGATGCGATAAATATAATTAAAACAAACAAGACCAAAATATATTTTAAATATTTTTAATTCGATTGTCTGGCAACAAGTTTAGTTCCCAAAAAATCAGCAATTGAAGAAAGCAGCAAAGGTCGGTAAATGTTGTTGAAGTTTTGAAGCAACAATCGTTTGTGGAGATTTTTAACAATTCGGATATTCAAATGGACTTTTCAAAAGTTGAGGTAGTATTCTATTTACAAAAAATAGCAATAAATATTATAATTTAAGTTATAATAGTATGAAGATGTGCGAATTCCCGTGCCTTGGGGATATATTTCTGGTCGTTGGTATGGCAATAGAAATCGACGTCCAATATTGGCACTGCATGGTTGGATGGATAACTTAGGTACTTGGGATCTATTACTACCACATTTACCGAAACATATTGGTATCCTCGCTATTGACTTCCCTGGACATGGACAATCATCGCACCTACCTCAGGGTATGCAATATCATGTGATCGATTATGTTACTATAGTTATGCACATTATAAAAGAATATAATTGGAAAAAAGTATCACTTATGGGACATTCAATGGGTTCAGTTGTAGTATACCTCTATGCAGCATTATATCCTTCAATTGTGGATTTAATAGTAAACATCGATTTAATAAAACAAGCTTTCTGGAAAACTGATTTTGAAATCAATCGTTTTGAACGTAATCTAATAAGACGCCGAAATGATATGACTGAAATAACAAATAGAAGTGAACCAAAATCATATGATTTCAAAACTTTAGAAAATATAGTTCATGAAGGATTTGGCCGTTCCGTTGATATTGAGAATTGTAAATACCTTTTATATCGTAACATTACCAAATCACAAATATCTCCAGATAAATATTATTTTTCGACAGACGATAGAATAAAGTATATGGAACTATTTACGGCCACCTATGAACTTACATTAAAACTAAATAAAAGAATTAGAAACATTCCATATTTTGTGATAAAAGGCTTGAATTCTTCATATCTTAATGAAGATTCGAGTGAAATCTTAAAGGTACTACGCAAAAATAATCCACACTTTGAATATTACGAAATTGATGGGACACATCACTTACACTTGAATAATGCAGAAGAAGTGTGTAAATATCTTAATCCATTTTTGAACCGTCACTGTCCTGCTGAGCTTAGTTCTTGGTCAATTGATGATAATATTGAGGACGTAAGGAGTAAATTGTAAAATTTTCGTTCTAATTTTAATGTAAATATGTACATTTGTTATTTTATTTTGTATTGGGAAAATAATATTTGATGAGTTAATAACTTAGTTTCTAAAATATCTTAATTATTATGTACATTTTTGTAAGGGTAATTAAAGCAGATTATTTTTAAAGTTGGTAAGATATGCAATTGCATGCGTTATTTATTTTAATAAAATTTGTTGAACATAAAAAAAAAATTAATAATATTTTACAGACGTAAACTAAAAATTTTTTTTATTGAAGGTGACAAAATATAAAACTCAAAATAGACTTCTTGTAGTCTGAGTCAGAGACGCAGCTTGGAAAACCATTTAGAGGTTACGGTACGTAGAATGAGTGCAGCTTTTTTTTAGTATGTTACCTATGGCCTTCAGCAGAGATTTTAATCCATTAAATACCACTACTTAAGATTAAAATGTATGTAGATTTTAATCATCGACTTGTAAAGAATCAGTAATTCCAATCCAATGTGATTTATTAATAGCAGAGATTAGCTTTATCACAATAGTAAATAATATCATGTCAAAAAATACGGGTAACAATAAGACAAGGGTAAAAAAAGAACATCACGTTTACAGTTTAGAATGTGCATCCAGTATAAACCAGAAATGACTTACATATAATCAAGTTAAAATTATAATTTTATAGCAAAAATCTAACAATCAAAACAACGAATAAATTAATTTTTCTTTGAAATCAAGTAGAATGAAATTAAAAGAGAGTAGCGTTCGGATATGAATCTATGTTGAGAAATTTTAGAGTCTTGTCACGTATACACATATACTGCCAAGACCTCCGATACGAAGATCTCTACTAAAGTGTTTCGACCTGATATACCAAAACACTTTCATGGTAGACACTTATCTTAACTTAAAATTGATTAATTCCAAGATATTTATTTCTTAAAAGTACAATGCGTTTTTATGGGGTGTGTTGTGTTATGTTACTAGAACTAACTTTTTGAAGTAGTTATATATGAATTAACTTTTCGAAGTAAATCATATATAATCACTTC